TTTTGGAATGGTTTAAATCCTACCTATCTAATCGAACCTTCTCTGTTAAACTCAGAGACTCATTATACCCAAAGACCGTGCTTTCTTGTGGGCTCTAGCCTTGGCACAGCCCTTTTTTCAATCTACATGCTTCCGATGGGCTCAATTTTTAAAAAATATGATATCTCGTTCCATTGCTACGCAGATGACTCAGATTTATGTTCCCCCGAGACGAAAATCTGTGAATCCTCTGAAGGGTCTGTTTGATTGTCTGGAAGACGTTAAGGCATGGATGCAACCTAAATGAGCAGAAAACTGAGCTCAATGTTTTCGGTGCTTGTGACCATCTTGACCTCGGCCATCTAGAGATCGATAAAAAATCATTTGCAAGAAATTTAGGAGTGATCTTTGACAGCAATTTGACAAACAGATAAATAACGTAATCAAGACTAGCTTGTTTCATCTTAAAGTTAAGCCTTTTCTCTGCTTCAGAGATTTTGAGAAAGCGATCCATGCCTTCATCTCGTCTCGACTTCTGTAATAGCCTCTATTCTGGTATTACCGCTACATTAATTGGCCGACTGCAGCTATTCCAAAACGCTGCAGCACGGCTCCTAACTGCGACGCGCAAGTGGGATCACATATCTCCCATACTTGCATCATTACATTGGCTGCCAGTCAGCTTTCCAATTGATTTAAACATTTTAACGCTTGTTTTTAAGACGTTACATGGCCAAGCCCCTATATATCTCGCTGATCTCCTAATCTGGTATTCTCCCCCAAGATCCTTGAGGTCTGCGGACCAAATGCTTTCGGTTGTCCCAAGGTCAAGGTTAAAACAGACACCGGGCATTTGCTGTGACCGCTCGTAAATTATGGAACTCATTGCCCCTGCATATCAGGACCTCTCCAACTCTGGAGACTTTCAAAACCCGTCTAAAGACCCACTTCTACTCTCTGGCTTTTAAATCAAGATGAGTCTGTTTCTATTGGACTTTCCATGATTCTATTCTCTCTTAATCTATATTCTATTTTATTTGGCCTGTCTTCTGCTTTGACTGTGTTATTGTACAGTACTTTGGTCAATAACTGTTGTTTTTAAAAGTGCTATATAAATTAAT